TTTAATTTTTTTTTTTTCACACATAATTGAATATTGTAAAAGCTTTATGTTTCTATGAGAACTGATATGCTAATGATAGTAAGTTAATTAACATACTTCTTTCCTATTACAAAAAAACTAAATTGCATGCAAGAAATTCTTGTTCAAGGAATTTGTTTACTTAGAAATATACTGGACCGATGAGATTTATTGTAACCGCGTAATACTATGTAATACTATCGAATGCCTACATTTATCGATATTTATTAAGGTAGAGGGTGGAAGCGTTATTGTTCATTGGAATTTGCGGCTTAACAAACGGATGCCCTTGTAATGTTCATATTTCTTTAAAATTATTAACCGATGTACATGTACGTAGCAAAAGTTCGACAAACCTCTAAAGCGCTTTCAACAATATTCAAAATTATGTTTAAACTCATCGGAGGCGCTATCGCACGCTAGACATTTTCGGGATATTCGCGCGCTGTAAACATTTCTGACATAAAGAGGATTAGAGCTCACGGGGAAAATGTGAATGTGAGCGGGGAAGGTTTGCCAAGAAAAAGGCGGCGATAAAGATAGACGAGAGGAATGGCTAAAGGTATAAATAAATGAAAATTATTGACGTAGGAGTTTACGAGGGATAAGAGAGCGAGAAAACTTGATAAGATGTATTATATGGAGAGAAATCGAAAGCGCGAAATAAACGGGAGAAAGATAGAGATAGGAGGGTTTTGGTCAAGTCCGTTGCGAGGAGCAATATTTTACGAGGACTTATTCTCTCATTTTATTTGTTTGTTCGGTACAGGTCTCATGGGTGAGGCATACGGACATCCACCTGCTGACGGTGGGCAACGACACTTACATATCCGACCAGAGGTTCATCGCCTCGCACTTCCCGAGGACCGAGGACTGGACCCTTCAAGTCAAGTATCCACAGCGGCAGGATTCCGGGACGTACGAGTGTCAGGTCTCGACGACGCCGCCTATTGGTCACTCTATGCACCTCTCGGTGGTCGGTTAGTTACCTTTTGTCTCTGTTCCGATTTAAGACTGCGTCTTCGGCTTTGACTGCCTCCTCGACCCTTATTTGCCATGTCTTTGGTGTCTAAGCCACTTATTCAGCATTAAAATTGGGAACGTGTCAAGCGGTAAAAGCTTCCCACGTCGATTAAAGCGTCTTCTTTACCACCGCGCGCCTCTCGACAATCCCTTTGACTTTTTTTTTTCCTTCGCGTTACAGCCTTGTAAAATTACACCTGCTACATTGGACCATTCAATTTCGAATGAGAGAATAAAGGCCCTCCGCACCTACTCAGCCCCTCAATTCCTCAATCCCTCAATCCCTCAATCCCTCAACCCCTCATCACCCTACCTCGCCACCTCGCAACCATCGCACTACCTACACCTCTGGCTAGCAATTTTATCTACTATAATCGTACAATTCTGTCAATTTTCAAACACCTTTCTTTATACGATAAGCTAATAATATATGCGCGTAATTTTATTCTGCTTAGTCGACATTTATAGTCATTATGAAATACTGTTCATAAATTCATAGACGGGAGGTTAAAGTATCAATATCAAGGATGCTTATGGGCTTAGTTAGCGAGTGAAATATAATATTATATAGCAAGAAAAATTATGACTTTAAATGATGATGATGATGATGATGATTATTATTATTATTATTATTATTACTTATTACTTATTACTATCGTATCATTTTAATAGTTGATTTATTTCATATAGATCGTAAAGTAGAGTGGAAAATTTATAATCTAGACATTAGATTAAAATCTTTATTTATGTATATCGTTTTTACATTAATGACTTTATTATTCACTTATATGCAAATATTTTGGCAAACGCGTGAATTAGTTGCGATTTTCCGTATTCCTATGCACGCGTACGTGCAAAAAATCTTGTGTATTAGATACAAGAAGAAAGAAAAGAAGCAAACGCGCGACATTTCACCTCATACCTTAATAATTCATAATAATGTGGTAAATTTTGTGTTAAATTAAAGGTTATATATGCCAATAACCACATCTTATCAAATTTTGAATAATGAATTTAGTAATTAGTTCGCTTAGTATATGAACGGTTTATTTCAGTTTCCCTTTAAGTAAAAATAAAAAATTAATATAAAATTGATGTACATAAGTTAACCAGTTGATAACAAAATTTTAGCTAATTATTTTACAAATAGATTTTATACATTCATTTTTGGATATTTTGGAAATTTTATTTAGGGGCGATTGATTATTATTTGCGATGCATGTAATTTAATTATAAATAAGCAATTTATTAAATAAATTTTATTTCAACGTAATTTCTGTTCGATATTTATTATATATCCATAATCTTTTGTACGATCATGTATTCGATTACAATTTAATTTTGTTTATCCCGCGTTACTTTTGAACGTTCATTTTAATTGATTTTAATTATTTATATTATCTATTTACCATATATTATAGATTAATGAATTTTAAACTATTTATCTCTTAATTAATTAATAGAAAAAATATTATAATATATTTTATAAATTTTAAAAATCGAACATACTTCATTATATTCTTCATTATATTCGTACGATTATCTTGCAAGTATAAACAACAATGTTGTAAAGTATGATACTCAAAGGTGTTATATAATATTTAAAAGTAGTAAATATAATTAATTGTAAATAATAAATTTTAGATACTATGTTGCGATAAAAAAAAAAATAAAAAAAATAAACCGTTCCATTCGTTACAATTTTTTCAATTTATTAGGAAAATAATCCTTTACGCGTATAGAAGTAAATTTGTATTTTCATAAATTATTCAAACCACAAGATTTTTATCATACATAATGTATGATATAAATAATACATTATACAATATAAATAATACCTTTACTCCCTTGGAACTTAAAAAGTTCCTATATAATTGTGTTTCATTTAATATTAAATATTTATATAATGAGTTGTAAAGTCAATATATATATATATATATATATATATATATATATATATATACGTATTCCAATTAGATAAATACATTAATAAACGTATTGAGAACATTGAGTAATTATAAAAATTTAGCATTTCACTAATTCTAAATGATAATAAATATTTATAATATTTCAAAGTGTGTATTATGATTGTTTAAAAGAATTTATGACTTATTTATGTTTATAATATTTATGTCAAATATAAATACAAGAATATGTACTTATGACGACTAATCGAAAGTTTTACAATTTATTAGAACGTAATTTACAAAATTAAAAGTATTCAAATTAGTTTTATAATTAAGATAATATTATTTTATGATTTACTTAATAACTTAGACAACATTTTTGTTTATAAAAGTTAAGGAATTATGTAGTGTAATTTTTCAAATATCTCAATTTCAAATAAATATTTCAATTATCTCGAATAAATATTTGTATTGCTATTTTGAAATAATTTAAATTTCAGGTAAATGTAAGTAAGGCTATGCTAGTATGACAAAAATCAAATAATTTATTTTCCGAATGATGTAATAACTTGTTATTATCATGTTTTATAAATAGAAATATGGGAATTTATAGATATATATTAAATTCTAAAAGAATGATTTTGTTCTTAAAAAAAAGTCAAAATCTATATATTTCAATAAAAATTGTTATTAAAAATCTATATAATATATTATGAATAAATAAATTATATTATATTTTTTTAAGTTATTGAAAATTTTAATATTATATGTTTAATTAATAAGATTTTAACTATTTTTTTTTTATTTTTATTGTAGAACCAAATTGAATTTATTGCTTTAATACTTTACGGTGTTTATGAAATACGTATTAAAATTAAAAAATTGTTTAATTATTATAATTATGTTGCTTTTGTGAAATTTTTATGTGATACAATGTTCAGTTCAATTTTAATATACAAATATACATTTATTAATATATGCATGAATGGTTAAATATATATATACACATAGGCTTACCATTCCAAAGAATGTAAATGGTAACTTTATTTATCGATTATATTTATAGTATTTTATTATTTTTGAATATGAGCGAAAAATATTTGCAACATTTTACAGTAACATTTTACGTACTACGTAATACACATATTAAACGGATGTACCTAACATTTATAACAAAATATTTATTTTATTTATTCAAATTTATAATAGTTTATATATTTATCTATGTTTTGGTTATGATTGTGGATCAGATTATGGAAATAAAAATTATTTGATATTTTTTTTAATTAATACATTGATAATATTTAATTTATGATAGTCCGATAGATCCTTAGTATTTTCATTATATTATGCTTAGGCGTTAATCTCGACACTTGTATTTTTTATTAATTTATACATATACAGCTGCAAAATATGAAATAATTAATACTTATAAGGAGTTTTGGTTTCATTGAAGCCGACTGTTCTTCAAATATCATACGCAAGAAGCTGTAAAAACTCTCGTTTTCATAGAATTTAACCAACTGCTCGGTTCATTTTTGACATATTTCGTCGTTAGTTAATTATCATGAATATGATATGTAAATAAAGATAAAATGAACATTTATTTTATGCATGGTTGTATATTATATGGTCTCAACATGCTTTATTATATTTCACTGTAAAATTTGTTTTTTAAATATTGAAATTCGTACAGATAAAACATACAAGAGAAATTGTCAGTCAAAATTTATAATATTATTTCAATAATTTAATTTATTAGTCAAAATTTGAAGATCATTAGTTTTTGTCTTACTATTTATATAATTGTGAGTATGTATAGAGCATAAAATATTTACTATCTTATAGAGAAAGTTGATCGAAAACAAGAGAAATAATTGTATATTATAGTAAGCGTATATTGCGATTGTTTAAAATTGATACGAACGTCAATTGATAGATAGGAAACACCGTAAGGTAGTATATATATATATATATATATATATATATATATATATATCAAAAACAATAATTTTGATAAAAATTAAGTAATATTTGTACGTATAGTTCAATGTTTGTCAAGTCTTTTAAATTTCATATGAAACCGTTTTCACACACAATCTTAACATTATAAGAATGAGCCCATAATTAAAGCGCAATCTTAATTGCCGATATTTAATGTTGTGTATATAAATAATAAATAAAAAAATCGATAAATATATATGTAGATAAAATTAAAAAAAAAGTTTCATCACGTTAAAGTTAAATGACGGGAAATTTGACGGTCTAATGCCGTATAGCTTGGCGCTAAAATATAAAATGTACTGTCGCTACAACTGATTAGCGCCAATATATATATGTGTGTGTGTGGGTGTGTGTGAGTGCGGGTGTGTGTGTGTGTGTGTATGCATATATATATTAAAAATGCTCCGAATATTTTTGATGTGCACAGAGCCGAAGACCGAAATCCTCGGAGATGCGGACATGTACATAAATAGAGGAAGTACTATGAATCTGACGTGCGTAGTATTGCACAGCCCGGAACCGCCGCCGGCAATCGTCTGGACGCACGATAAAGAGGTAATTTTTCCTCCATATTTTGTCCTCTCTATATAACTCCATTCTTGCATAATATGACCTGCATATTTATTCCCATAATGTATAGGCTAGGGAGCCGATAGCTCTGGTATACTAATAAAATTGATAAGGCATTAATGCACGATTACCTCATTTTTTATAATTTATTTTATCCGCTACATGTATAGTTCATTTGCTCTTTAAGAAAAATATTTTATATAATATCCGATAATTTTTTAAGCTATGAAAGTAGCTCACCTTTTTATGCATTAAGCACTTGTAATAGTATATACCTTCCGTATACCTTCGTGACATTAATGTATTAAACATGAACATCTATTCAGGCATGCATCAATTTATCCTACGTCACTTGTCATTACAATAGATTTTCACAATACCTCGTATAAATTAGTGAAATTAGATATTATTATATTTAATTTCAATTTTTCGCTTGTACGACATTTTCATCTATATATTTTCAAGTTTTATCTAAATTCATAAATATAATACAAATCACAAAAATTCAAAACGTTCTTTTTCCCGCAAGTTCCACTGAAAGTAATCAACTATTTTTTCTTTGATTATATATATATATATATATATATATATATATATATATATATATATATATATATCAAAAACAATCCTGCGAAGAACTTAAAAATGCCTCGGAAAATTTGTAATATCAATCTTCACCATATGACTTACCATGCCGACAAGCAAATTAACAAGCTTTTAATTAATAACTAATTAAAATATATTTTAATTTATGCAATATTTTACAATATCTACTGATATTTTCTAATTTCTTTAATCTAATATAACGTTCAACGCTGTATTGGGGTTAATATATAATAATATTTTTTAATTTATTAAAATGAAAATATCGAACAATCAAATTTCTTTCCAATCAATTTTATCCGGCATTATTGATAAAATTCTGCTTTTTTTCTTTCTTTTTTCTTTTTTAAATATAATAGTGATGCTATCCTGTATTTATGAAAAGCTAAATAATGTTGACGTAACTCAACAAGTTTTTCATTAATCTAAACATTTTTTAATTAAAATTCATTCGTGTAAAGTGAATTTTGTAAAATAAATTATATGGTAGAAATATTATATTCCCTTTTTCTTTTCCATTTCTTTTTAAATAAACAAGCAGCTAAGAATCTTAAATTTTTTGGATTTATGTAAATTGAATATTATTTTAAATACGTTTATGATTGAAATTATTGTGACAATTTTTTGAATTTAATTCTAAAATTTTACTAATTAAACGAAGACATTGAGGAAAGGAAAATAACATGTTAAATATTTTCTCCTACTTAATCATTATAATTTATCGTTATGCTTTAATTCAATAAGCAAACAAAAGAAAAAAACAAAAAAACAAAAAAAAAAAAATTAAAAAACAAACAAACAAACAAATAAACAAACAAACAAAAAATGACTCTGCCTTGCACGATACAATTGAATATCGTTTGTCTGTATTGTTTGTCCATTGCTTAATGTAGGCTTACCTGTTAAATTCCACATCTAAAAGTATCGTTTAATAGATGTGATTAAATATATGGTGAGTAAGAGTTTTATAGAGTATGAAAAATTTTATTTTCTTTTAATATTTATGGTATTTTGAAAAGTATTATAGAGTTATTATCACTCCAGTTATACACAAATACTACTAAAACTGAAATATAAATTTAATACATTTTTATGTGCATCGCAAATTTTTAATAGATGAATTATATGATATAGAATAACTGTCTTAAACATTCGGCAACCTCATATTTCTTGACCTATTTAAGATTTCCAACGACTATTATAACAAGTAAATAATTCTTATGAGTACGTATGTTTTCTTTTATTTTATTTCTTCTTCATCATCTTCCTCGTTCTTTTGTTCTAACGACATTCTTTAATAGTTCTTCTAATTTTTGCAAATCATGGAATTTCATTCGTATTATTAACATCCAATTCATTCATAATGTTATTACACCAAGTATATCAAATCTTATAATTATTACGTAAATTAACAATGCAAAAACTGCACTAACGACGTCTGAAAGTTTTAATCGCTTTATTTTTTATAGTTCCATGCGTGAGCTACTTGAACTAAATTTATTAATAATATTATAATTATATCGGTAAAGTCGTAATAAAGTAATTTTATTAGTGTAGTTACGTGCAAAGCCGAATAAAGATGTCACAAAAGTTTTTAACCATATAATTTTATACCATTTATATATAAAAAGATCTAGATTTTAATGGCACAATATTTTAATTTTTTTATTTATTTATTTATTTCTTTATTTATTTATTATTTTTTTTTTTTAATGATATTTCGTAATACATTGTAAAAGATAAAGTCTATATGATAAATATGAATAATAATTAACGGATGTGTGAATTGTAATTAATTCAAATCAAGGTATAATTTCAATTATGTATGCGCATGTACGTAAGGTGGATATAACGTTGAGCTGATTTATTCGGAAAAATCGTCACTATATCCTTAACTCCCATCTAGAAATTCGCTTTTCTCTCTTCTTTTTCTTGATTTTTATCCTCATTTTCATTTTCATGAAAACCGTCTTTTAATTAATTTGACATTTTATCAAACAGAATTGTATTATTATTTAGAATGTCATTATTACGAACGAGTCGTGCATTAAATGCAATAAGTCTGCGGCATATTCGAAAGAATTCAAATTTCTACGTCCTCGATATAAATAAAGAATTGTTTAGTTAAATGATTTTCGGGTAGCTTTATATTAATTTTAATAAATAAACGGTACGGTAAATTCGTCGACGTGGTTGCTATTATCATTGTTGTTGTTCGGTGAGCCCGATAAACAATTAATTCAATAGGTAGACGTCTAAGTGTACGTAAGTAAAAGTCGAAGTGCACGCCTGGGATTTGGATTATGAAAATGTTTAAAGTCACTGTTTAAATCTCTGCCAATAGGCTGTAATACAATTATTTAAAAACATTTGCTACTCCTGACCGGGGTCGCTCTAAATTAATTAAGATCGTCGTCATATTGTTGCGTAAGCGCCCTAAGCGCTCAAATATTTATCCGAGCATTTGAGAAGAATCGGTTCATCACAGGTGGAATTTTTAACGGCATCGGATAATAATAATAATAATAATAATAATAATAATAATAATAATAATAATAATAATGATAATAATAATAATAATGATAATAATGATAATAATAGTATAATAACCTACCTATTCGAGCACCGAGCCAGCGTCGGACATTTATTAAATTTTTGTACGCCTATTGTTGGGCGATATTTTTACAACATCCTGCGGTTCGCAATTTCTCACCTCTCATGTAGCTGAGCGCATAAGCATTCGCCCGGCGTATCGGTTTTTCATTTTACAGGTGGAATCGGCGGTCCCACGAGAAGGGTGCCGCGTTCTTTATCCGAGACGAGATTTTGGAGGAGCGCAGCCGCCAGCTCGCAAGCAATGATTTTCACATTGAGGCAGGTGATACGCGCCGCGAGTGGTTAGGTAACGCGTCCGGGATTATCATAGACGGCCCATTGACAGGATGAGATGACGAGGATGAAATTTGCGAAAATCTCATAAAACGTAACGGCTAAAAAGCTCGGCCCGTTGTCGTTGGCTTCCCTGCAGAAAGTCGATATGACTGGGTGGCGCGCGCGCGCGCGCGTATCAGGCCGCGATGACTGAAGGGGTGGGGCGAGTGAGCAAAGTCGGCTATTGCGTGTGGAAATATTGCCGAGCCGTCGGGAGATAAGGTGGGAAACGGCACGAATGGGGCTGATGGATGAGGAGCGGGAACGAGAGCGGGGTGGGGGGGGGTTAGCTGAAAGGGGCCACGATCGGGAGGAACACTCTAATAAAGTATCATGTGCACTTTGGCTATGCGTAGGAGATCAATTACGATAGTCCGAGGGGCGGAGTGTCGGTGATTACGGAGAAGGGCGAACAGACGACCTCGTATCTACTGATTCAGCGAGCCCAGGCAGCGGACAGCGGCAAGTACACCTGCCACCCGAGCAACGCCAATACCAAAACCGTCACGGTCCATGTTCTAAATGGTGCGTATGTAAAAAGGTTCCAATTATTTTTAAAGGACGTCGGGGCTCCATCTCGACTTTTCCACTTTACCCTTTTGTCTCTCGACGCCCCGGGGCGAGCTTCCCTTACCGTGCTATCGCCAATTACGGGGGCAGCCCTTAATAAGCCGTGGTGAGCCACACCACCCCTTGCTATTTTTGCTATTCTATTTGTTTTTTTGTTTTGTTTTTTCATAAAAAGTTATAAATACACTCCGCGCGAGTGTCATTGCTAAGTCATTGGTAAAAAAAGGGAGATAATGAACGCAAGGGCTTATTAAGTAAAATCAATCGTTATTTATGCCTGCCCTTTCTACCATTCTATCACTCTTTCTATCTCTCTCTCTCTCTCTCTCTCTCTATCTACCTCTGTCTCTGTCTCTCTCTCTCTCTCTCTCTCTCTCTCTCTCTCTCTCGCCCGCGTTTTAATGCTACGACCAATGCTGCCATTTAGAGGCGCTTTCTTCTCAGCAGCGACGTCACAATTCTGCATCGTCGATAAATCGGCGTCTTTATAGCCCAAGATTTGTTTGGATTTTATGGTTCCGATACGATTTATACTTATGCTTATACTCTTAAAATTTACGCTCAAATGTCACATTTTTCAGCAAGAGTTAATTATTGGTCAATTATTCGAGATGTGATAGACGATCGTAATAAATCGTTGTAATTAGTTGCTCATTTTTAACGTCACTCGCGGGTGACAATTTTCTTTATTATCTCGTTCTAAAACTTCAATTTACAATTAAAGGTTATTGTTATGATGTTGTAACGAGGATAGTCGATAAGCCGGCAATTCCTCATCGATCCATTGCCTCTTCTTAAATTCGAAATAATGAATATCATGGACGGTGAAATTACTTTATGCCCTAGATTATTAAATGGACCGTTATGTAATATAAATGAAAGATGAAAGAAATCCAGAATGTAGACTAAGTTTTAAAATTGATAGTAATAAGAACGGTCATTTCTTTTCTCCTACACGCAATTTTTTCAATACAGTCGGAAAAATAAGGCTTCTGTATTTGCGAATGAGATAAGGAGGAGGAATATCGGTATGAAAAATAAGGAATGAAAAAAAAGAAAAGGAGAGAAAAGGATAGCGGCCATCTTTCTACGTTATTCGATAGAACCATTAGTCCTTTGGGATTTCTCGGACACTTGTCCGGAGAGTGTACTTTTTGAGATATTGTGTTTCTTTGAAAAATGTCCTCTTAGCGGCGGGTTTCGACTTGGTGTTTAAAAATATTGACCTTACCGCTTGATGAATGAGATGAACGATAGCCTCACAGAAGATTTCACGATGAAATCATGGAGAAATAATAAAATACGATAAAATGTAAATGACTCCGTTGTGCTCGATATAATATGGTACACATTAATCATTAATAAATCGTCCAGCATCTATGTGGAATACATAAATACGTACATTTGAAATATATATATATATATATTATGGGGGCATAAATTATTATTCAGCATTGAAAATAGTTTATCCTCTACGGTAATTATTCTTTATTAAATCGTTGTTGTAAAATTTTCTATCTTGCCTGAATGTTGGCTGAATGACAAAATATCGTGAAAAATAATACGACAATACGAAAAAATATACCGTTCAGATTGCCGTGAAATGGCGCGATACGAAAGCGTTTATTTTATTCGCTTTGTATGAGCGCATAACAGTCTGTAATTACTGGAGTTACAAAAAATTTCATTCGAAATTCATTAATTTGTAATTCACTTACTAAATTAAAGTCACGATAATAGTATGAAGGTAAAATAATCATTAATTGTTGTCTTATAATTGAGCATAAAATGCATTATCTTGTATTTAATTTTCAATAGCTTCGTGGAGTTCCATAGGTCTCTAAAGTAATACGAAACCACTAAACTACTAGAATAATTAATTTTTTGCAAGTATTATTACTCGATGGGAAATCCTCGTTTTATTTATTAGCGAGCTTGAAATATGAAAACTACGTTTTTTAATTTATTTTTTAAGAATTTACACATTATGATATGTATTATTCAACTATTTTCATTAGGAATACCGCGAGGCTACAAAAACGAATACATAATTGAGCTTGGAACAGTATATAATCCACTTTCATCGAGTCGAAGTGGAAAATGAGTCGAAAATATTGCATTTGAAATTCAAAATAATTTTTCACACAACGGATTAATTGCAATTAATTACGTAATAGCAGTAAAAATCTGTATATAGCGGATGAGATTTTTTTAAGAGTGCAAATATTACGAAGAAAATTTATGGGACGGCGAGTATTTTGTGAAAATCGATTAAACAATAATATGTAAAAATAAAAATAAGAGGATGTTAATGCTTGGATGGCCTACTTGGAGGCAACTTATTTATTTTTGCCGGTCAGTGTTGTTTTCGACGAACGTCCTACTGCCTCCGAGACCATTATGTTTTAAGCGTAAGCGTGCATATTTTAATTGCCGTTTGAAAATTATTGGCTAATAATGTAATGTCGAAGATAAGTTGATTTAATGATGTTGCGAGGGAGCGCGCAAAGTCCTTAAAGTAAGCGAAACACTTTTGGCGTACGTGGACACTTTTGAAATGAAAAATAAAAATTTTCGTCCAGCATTGTAAGATGCGGGGGAAAATGAGCGTTACGCGCGCAATTGCATTAATCTATGAAGCATGCTTACGCGCGTTGCACATTCCAGAAATTCGGGACTTGGCTTTAATACATTATGCAATAGGGCTTGCGTAAAGTAATTTTATCAAATCTCCATAAATTTGTACGCAGATATAGAGGGTAAACGTTGCGAATGAGGCGAGTTGAGGCGTGGGAGTATATAAGCAAATGAAGTCTAAAATAAGATGATGGGAGTGGGGGATGGGATGAGATGGGATGGGATGGGATGGGATGGGATGGGATGGGGGGGGGGGAGTATTGAGTGTGCCCCTCCTACGCCGGGGCCACAAACGCAGGCAACCGATCGTTTCGATTATCGAAGGACCTCGCACGTGTCTTTGAATGGTACTTTTGGAAGAAGGATCGGGAAAAAGGAAGAGAAGAGCCGGTAAAGGTATATCATGTGAGAAAGCGATTCCCTTTTTCCGGCAAAGGAAGCCAATGAGGTCGTTGGTGTGTGGGGCGGGGTGGGGTGGGGGGTGATGAGGTTGGTTACGAGGATGAGGAGAAGGAGATGGAGCGGGTTTCAAAAGGGAATTTTTCATGACCACTTCTCGGAGTCACTCGAGCACAATGAATAAAAATACATTTATCCGGGAAAGCAAGGCAGACGGCGTGCGGGAAAAACCGCTCGCTTCTCGAATATCGCTCCCCGCCACAACGGATGCCGCTGCAGCCACAAAAGTCGCGCACACGAGTGTCGCAAAGGATGCTGGATGCGAGCCGTAATATCGTCCCGGGGAGAAGGAGTCGGAACAGCGTGCACGAGCCTCTGGCTAAGGAAAGGACAATATTATTCTCGACCCTATTTTTATTGACTGATGATATATCGAGGAGAGCCACCTTAACCCCATTTCATGTTCGCGAGGTAACGGCTGCACCCTGGCGCTGCTCTTCGGCATAAAAATACCGAAATGGAGCTATTACGATATTTTCTTTCAACAGCGCGAGTCTTCACGATCGTCGGACAATCTACGGTCATCGCGAGAGCGCCTCAAGCATCGACGAGAATTTCATTATTCCGCGGGAGGGTCGTTAAGTATTAATGCGCGATACCACTTGCTTCGCAATGAATTAATTTATTACAATTAATGAATATTAAAGGATAACGTCACTCATCCCCAACCTCTTTCATTTTGTTCTAAAGATTCATAGCGAAATAAATGAAAATGTCAATGTCAAATATTTATTCTGCAATATTTGTGGAAAGAGGAGTAGTCGAATTTGTATTTGTTTTCTTTCAAATGTGACAGCTTTGTGCTCAAGTTACGTAAATTTCCATTCGAATATATATGTAAGAACATATGAATTATTTTAACGAAATTTATAGAAACTTTATAGAAGTTGACGGTTCCCGTTTCTACCGCATTTTAATTAAATAAATAAATACATTAACATATCGACATTTATTTACTTATATAGAATAGAACATTTTTGAGTTAAGACGTATTGAGCTAAATCTTCTCATTACCTCTTGAGGCGTCATTTTTTAATAAAACTATCTCCCAATTCACTTCATCAATTACACTTGCCGTTTACCCCCTTCATCACCATCAAAATCTTAAAAATAATATCCATTAAGAGGATTCCAGTGATAATAAAATGATTATCCATCACCCATCACGGTCGCACACATATCGATATTGTTTGAAAATTAAAAGACCATTAAATCTACGATGGCGCCATCTGCGATGTGCTTTAGTGCGTTAATATTGCGGTTCCGTTACATCTTGCCTACGTGCTTTGATGATCGGAAGCTAACACAAACACACACGCACACGCATACATTGAACGCATGCATACATAGACCAACGTGACAATCGTTAATAAACATCATTATTTCAACAAAACACTTAACTTTAAAACATATTTATTTATGTTAAATGAGAACGGCTGTTTTTTGTCATATGCTTCGTTATAATTGTAATAATTTTATTTGACGTGTAAAATTTTCAGACTATATTCGTAGATATTCGCGCGACAGTTATTTATTAACAACACCTTTTTCCTTCGCTTATTTCAATGCGTTAAAATAAATTCCGTACACGTGAGTATGAAATTAAATTTAATCACTTGGGAGTAATTAGCGATGTTGCATAAGTAAATGATTGATGAGTGATCGAATAAGGAATAAAAAATAAGTAACGTAATGCGTTTTGGATATGAGCCATCTATTTATATATGGCCAATAACGATCGAGTGATCGAGAGATGATTCAATGAGTAAACCTAATGATTGTTAATTCTCTGACTATTATGATTGTTAGCCGTTATTGTAAATACATCGATTATTCCATTTTGTCTTTTTGTATTTATAAGCCATTGAAAATTTGTGCATTTTTATGGAGAAAATTTGTTTAAATATGTAGATAATTTTATTCGTTATGTCATAATACTATCTCACAATATTATTGAAAAAAAATTTTTTTTTTACCAATTATCTTAAAAAATTGATTATCATTTTGTTTAATGAGAATAACATTGTTTCGATCTGCATATATATATATATATATATATATATATACACACACACACATATATATATATATATATACACATATAAGGTAGAATGTTAATTTAAATAATAAATTTTAGAAATATTATAATAAGAAAAAATACAAGAGATAAAATGTTCACAAGACTTTTCTTTTTAATATAAAAAAAAAACAAATTATAACGCATAGAAATTAGTGAAATATATTTTTTAAATCATATAGGATTTTCGTAATTATGCAATGTTTTTTAATGTATTTTTAATTTGCAGAATTATGCTGCTACGATGTACGTAATGAATTTTAAAGATAGTTTTAACGTATATAGCGACGACTCGGAGTTATCGTCGTATCTCGGGAAGTGGAACGAGGATCGCGAATTAAAATGCGAGCATCTCAAATAGTTTATTATTCGAGATGTTTGCATCACAAATATGTTTATTACTTGCGTATGATTGCAAAAGGTGAAAATAGTAATGCGTATCGGCGATCGATTTATACTCGTCAATTCCGATGAAGGAACTGGCGGAATCGTAAAAAGCAATTAACGTCCATCCAACCATCATCAATCCAACGACGTAAGACGCGCGTATTTGTATTATAATCAATTTACACTTGTTTCATTATGGCTTTTCACGTTTCTCTATTGCTTCGCCGATAGGAGTATCGCTGAGCTTGCCTCTGACTTTGTCTCTTTACGTCTCTCTTTTATATTTTACCTCCGTCAGCACTACCGACGCTGCTGTCCAAAGTCCCAATCCGGTCTTCTTTGAACATCAACAGCCGTGCTCGTTCCGATGTTGCAATCCAGCTCGGGTATGAATCGCATGACTTGGAGTTTTTCCTCTTACTACTCTTTCTTCTTGCTGACGCGACTTGTATCCTAAACGCTCGTGTATTTGCACTTTGGCATATTATTTTATCTGCCGAGCTGACCTCATTCGGTTTAACATGTACACCGGATGCGGTCCTACCCATATACGCTTTCGGCTAAATTCGTTTTCTTTAATAAAATTGGTCGTTCAGGATAATTGAATGATTAAGTAAAATGAGAGAGTGAGTGAGAGAGAGAGAGAGAGAGAGAGAGATAAAAGATGAAAGATAAATAAAAAAGATAGGAAAAAACAGAGCCATTTAATTGAAATTTAAAATGGATTTTAATGATCGATGGGTAATCGGGCAGAATAGTCGACGCTTTAGTGATTAGACGTTAGCATAAGTTTATAAAATTTTACGATAGCGGAAGGAATATAATTATCGATTTCCTTACTCCAAGTAACGAGATTAGACGGTAAGATTAGAACATTTAGACGAGTACAAGGGACAACACATACAAACACGAGATTAAACTGTGGTTATGGGCTTCGAATGTTGCAGGAGAGCATCCAGCGGCGATGCAACATGGCGGCCAATTGAGACTCAGCAATCCGCCGTTCGTGGTGATGCTGGCGACTCTCTTGGCCTTTCGCAATAATCGGCACTGAGCGACAAGGAAGACGAGGACTAAAGTAGAAATTGAAGGCGCACGAAAGCGGCACAAAAGCGACACGAGCTTGCGGTCAGTCGTTCGTCGTGACAGCTCACTATATATGTGTACATAAACACGCGCGCACACGCGCGCACTCACACCAACATCCATCCATAAACTAACGCATATAAAATACACGCACACGTATTATCATTTCTTTAACACATTACGAGTCTACGTTTTTTCAATAAAAAATTTTCCCTCCTTTCATTTCTTCTCAGTTCATTTACTCCCCTGCTAATAATACTTATGATTTTCTTTCGTTTGCCGTTCACTTTTTCATCAATTCGCCAAAGCTTCCACCAATATTGGCCGTAGATAAAACTGATAACATCAACCAATCAATTAAATACTTTTGATATTTTTGATATTTTTATTAATACTATTGATGTTTACCTGAAAAAGAAATGTTAACGGAGCTCATATTCCGCGCGATTTTAGCGAAATATTTTCAATAATTAATCAAAGTCAAGCATTGCCAACCATCTCAATACGAATTAATAAAACGAAAAAAACAACAACAACGACGACGACAACAACAACAACAACGACAACAACAACGACAACGACAACGACAACAACAACGACAACAACAACGGCAACGACAACGACAACGACAACGACAACGGCAACGACAACGGCAACGACAACGGCAACGACAACGACAACGGCAACGACAACAACAACAACAACAACAACAACAATAAAAAGAAGAAGATGAAAAAGTTTGTTTTTAAGTTTATTCAATTTAAATTATTCATTATACATTGGTAATTCATTAAATCGTATTAGAAAAAATATTAAAGTCTCGATGTGAGAATTCATTTGGTATTGGAATTGTATCACAAATTTCTTTCACTCAAAGAATATCCTAAAATCACGATTTATAATCACCTATTATAGTAATAAATTATATATATATATAAATGTACATAAAACGTAAATATTGGTAGATCATTTAGAGCTGTTATCATTTTCATCCACAACGAAACCAATGACGTCCAATATTGGCGAGCAAACATCGCGATGATAGATCGATTCTAATAATTTGGCGGCGCTTCGCCCACTCACTTTCATTCGAATGTTTTTCATTGCATGTCCATTCGTACGAATAATAGCGACAGAGTCGTGCCCGCTTAGAGCGAATATCCACTCTAAAGGAGATGCGAGTCGACGTTGCGGCTTGCGACTGCACTCTAATATCAATTGAACGGGAGCGACGAGAATGGGCCCAAGTTCGCACGGTCGGGCGCAAAGAAAATCCACTCCAAGACATTTAGTGTGCGGCTTTCACGACAGTCGAACAACGACCGCAAGAGAGTTGCCGCGTGTTTGCGGAGGAGCGACGGAACTGTGCGCCGCCACTTCCTCATCTCGCAATTTCGGAACAACCCTGGTATTTACCTATCGGCGGAAGACCTTCGCTAAGTCAGTTATGCCAAGTCGCTCACCCCTCCTCCTCACCCCGGCCCTCCTCCACCAACCGCCGTTTAAATGAATACGAACACTTAAAAGATCCGAGAGTGGAGAATAGTTGGATTAATTGGCGTACACAGAATTCGTGTTTTTCCGTTCTGTGTGTGCGCGTGTGCGCGTGTGTGCATATTGTATTATCTGTGTTGCACAAATAGCACGCGTAAACATGTACGGCATTTATTTTGGAGCAATCCGACGGCTATTGTATGGCAGTTTATGGTAAACTGGACGTACGTTTGGTGGATGCCTAACGAAGAGACATCGAACCTGTGAATTCGGTTCGCTTAATGCTCGAGAGTACGTTTTACTTTAGCTGATAATCGTGTCGGAAAGCTTTAACTATTCTCAATCGTCCTTACTAATATCCCTCTATATTTATGATTTAAAGCGCGCGAATTATTATGCAGAATCGCAAGAGTTAATTGTGCCGTAATGTATGCTCTCGAATGTTAATAATAATGTCGAATGACAATTAATAAAGAGCCATCATCAGACGTTTAGTATATTTTAGATGATTTGTGTGGTCGCGTGCCATTTCTTATAAGATTTTACTTAATAAAGCTAAAATTAAATGTCAGATTGAACGTTAGGCGCGCATTCTGGATTTGATAATCTATTATTGAAAAGTGTGTCACTGAAAATCGTAATTAAGCAGATAAGCGCCATCCTCGCGCATTGATAAACTCCACACGATGAATTCATAACGTAAAGAAAAAGTTCGTGTGATTTGTGTTTCTTTCTTTCTTCGTGTTGGAGAGAAACGGTATATGGATGAGTATATAAGATCGCGAAATTTTTATGCGTTATGACTACGATATCTCAAGTCTCTTCCACTATAACTGTACGTCTCAATTTTCCTCCCCTAGCACGGCTTAATATAGAGGGAGGAAAATAAAATGGAAGAAGAAGAGTAATAGGAAGAGCCGCACAATGTCATTGCCACTTGCCGTTAAAAAAAAAAAAAAAAAAAAAAAAATCAAAGAAAAAATTTGCCGTCGCGTATGTATTGCGTCAGCTTGGCCACGAGGGGGCGACGATTGGTATGAAAATTTACAATAAGGGATTCGCACGGTGTACGGAAGACGGCAGCCACTTTTGCCGTCGCGTATGTATTGCGTCAGCTTGGCCACGAGGGGGCGACGATTGGTATGAAAATTTACAATAAGGGATTCGCACGGTGTACGGAAGACGGCAGCCACTTGATCATTCATAAGACGTAAGGACGCTCGTATCGAAAGAAAACATTATACAAACTCATTTCGTGCAGCGCTGGCGATTATAATAGCTCGGGACCGTCGACGCGCCTTCGTTAAATAAATAACGGTAAAATCAGTCCTTCGTTACGTTTTTCCTCTCATTGCACGCTCACGTACTTATAAAAAGTTTGTTGCACCTTACCTCTATGTATTTCTACCGTCTAAAACAAAATACTGAGTACTTGAAAAAAATATTGAATACTTCATTATGAAAAAAGTTATGGATGGTAGCGTAAACCGTCAATATGTGCATCTTTATCTTCCTTAAAACTTTATTGTACATTTTTTCCGATATTTTCGTTAACGATGTTTTTTAATAAAAGTATTTACATCAAGTTTATGCGTGTGTATGTGTATACTTCTTATTTCATATTATTTATTATTTATTATTTATTATTATTTATTATTGTTATTTCTTTGCTTACGACATTATGGCAAATTATTTTTAAGGAACCGAGTCTCATGTTCTCATGTCGTTTACTATGTAATTCAAATATGCCTATGTATATAATTATAAGTACATTCGAATAAAATAGCGTACAATTTTCAAGAATGCGTTACTATTGAACGACGAGTTGTTAATATTATTTCAATATCTGCGTAAATTCGCTCATTTCGGCAAATTGAATTTCGATTGCACGTTTCATTCGAATCAGATGCTGAAATAAGTAGTGCAAATATAGTTTGACCTGGACAATGTGAGATATCAATTATAAATATATGAATGTCATTATTTACTATTGCAACTTACCTGCGAATTGCCACATTTATTATTTTTTCTTGTATATTGTTATATATATATATATATATATATATATA